GTCCTGGAGGGTGTGTCGGGGGGCCCCAGAGTGTGTGTCAGGGAGTCCCGAAGTGTGTGTTATGGGGTCCCGGAGTGTGTGTTGGGGGGCCCCAGAGTGTGGGTCTGGGGGTCCTGGAGTGTGTTGGGGGATTCCACAAGGTGTGTTGGGGGTCCCGGAGGGTGTGTTGGGGGATTCCAGAAGTGTGGGTTTGAGGGTCCCAGAGCGTGTTGAGGTGTCCCAGAGTGCACTGGGGAGTCCCGGAGTGTGTGCTGGGGTGTCCTGGAGTGTGGGTTTGTGGGTGCAGGAGGGTGTTGAAGGGTCCCGTCCCCGCGGGTGTGTCGGGGGGTACCAGAGTGTGTGTCAGGGAGTCCTGAAGTGTGTGTTACGGGGTTCCAGAGGGTGTGTTATGGGGTCCCGGAGTGTGTGTTGGGGGGCCCCAGAAGTGTGGGTTTGAGGGTCCCAGAGTGTGTTGAGGCGTCCCAGAGGGTATGTTGGGGAGTCCCAGAGTGTGTGTTGGGGGGTCCTGGAGTGTGTGTTGGGGGGTCCCGGAGTGTGTTTGTGGGTCCCTGAGGGTGTGTTGGGGGTCCTGGCCATATTGGAATCGCGACTGTCTGACCCAGGCTGAGTGGCATGGATAGATAGGCTTGGGGCGCCCAGGGTCGGGCCTCAGAGTTTTGGGGTCCCCAGAGGGGCTGGGTGCTGTGTTGTGTAGGAAGCAGCTGCGGGGAGGGATGGCCCACTAGGAAGGGCTTCTCGTTACGGTGATGGGGGAGGGGTACGCCTTTGTGTTTCGGGGGTCACGGTCCTGATTGGGGGAGGGGAGGATAGGAACACTTTTCCCCCACGAGTTTGGGGAGACTTGGCCGCAGTGAGGCAGGGGGCCTCAGAATGTGGTGGTGGTGGTGTACACCCCACCCACCCCAGCACTGGGGAGGCTGAGGCAGGAGGGTCCCTGAGAGGTCAGGGCTGGCCTGGACCGCGTCTCAAAAAAAAGGGGGGAGACACTGGCTTTTTGGGGGACAGAGTTGGGTCCTACAGGGAGGTGGGGAGGGTCGCATCTTCAGGTGTGGGGTTGGCCGCTCTCTTGGGGAGACAGGCAGGGAGTGGATTGCGGGGTCCCCTGTCCACCGTGGGGAGAGGCTGGGACTGAGAGCTGGAGGCCGCGGAACCTGGGGTGGGTTCCAGGGCGGTCACGTGTCACCGCTCACCCCAGAAGAGGGAGTGGGGACCCAGCGGGAGGCGGGACCTGGGCTGGTTCCTCTGCTCTCCTCTCTCCTCCCGGCCCCTGGCCCTCTTCCCCGTGCCCTCCTCCCGCCCCGCGTTCTTTCACTGTCCCCCGACCCAGCCTCGCCCCTCGTGGGTCCCGGGTCCCTCGCGTGCGCCCAGGGCGCGTCTCCAACTGCATACTGGGGAGTTCAGCCGTTCCGGCGCCGCTGGCCCTGGACCCCCTCCCCGGTGCTGGACAGCCCCCCGAAACCACACCCGCACCCCTGGCCCGGTCCACTTGGGCTGCACCCGGGGTCCTGGGCGCTCCTCTGCGCGCTGCTCGGCCGCTGGGCCCCGGCTGGCTGTGCGCCCTGGCCCCTGTCCCAGCCCTGGCCGGGCAGGAAGGTGGGGCGCGGGCCCTGCCTCCGGATACCCGCTAATCCCTAGCCCTGGCCTTGGGGAACCGCCTTGAGCAAACACGTTCTTCTCCCCTGGCGCCTCCGGAGGATGAGCCGCTTAATCCGGATTAGTCCGAGCAAAGCGATTCCCTCACACACCATGCTCCCGCCTCTCCCGGGGAGCCTGGGGGCCCAGGGAGGTCCCGAGTCTCCAAACCACCAGGGGGTCTGACACCGACGGTGCCCGCGGATAGTCCAGGTGGGATGCCAGCTCCGGGGGCCAAAGCTTGGCGTTCGCAAGGCCACTGCTGGCCGGGAGCCGAGGGCAGGGGCTGGGGCCTGTTAGATCCCAAAGCGCAAATACCTTAGAGCAAATAAAAGAGAGAAGACAAGCAGCCGGGAGACTGACTTTTCACAAGGGAGGGGAGAGGAAGCCAGGACCTGCTGGGTTCTGACCCAAAAGTGTGGTCAGCTTGCCCGGCGATTGTGGGGTCGGAAAACAAATCAACTACAAAGTTCGAGTGTGCCGAAACTTCGTGGAATTTGCTCGTTGCTGGTCCCATGCAGATCTTGGGACCCATTTCTCAGACTCTATGTGGAGCATGTTTTTTAACCTTTCCCAATCAGTTCTGCAATTCACTTTCAACCGAATGAAACCACTGCAATGAACACAGGCCCAGGGGACGTGGCCGGCCACTCAGGCACTGAGGGCGGTGTCGGTGGAAAATAAAGTCAGGTGCCCGGCATGGTGGCGCACGCCTGCGGTCCCTGCACTCGGGAGGCTGAGGCAGGAGGATCACTGCGAGTTCCAGGCCAGCCTGGGCTACATAGTGAAACCCTCTTTCACAAAGAAAGAAAGAGAGAGAGAGGAAAGGAAGGAAGGAAGGAAGGAAGGAAGGAAGGAAGGAAGGCAGGCAGGCAGAAAGGAAAGAAGGAAAGAAAGAAAAAGAAAAAAAGAAAGAAAGAAAGAGAAAGAAAAAAAAAGAAAGAAAAAGAAAAAAAGAAGAAAAGAAAGTCAGAAGAAAGTCAGGAGCCACTGCTTTCCCTCAGCTCCCCAAGCTGGAAGGTACAGGAAGGGCTCGGGGGGCAGGAAGACCCTCCCGGCTTCCCTGCGAGCTGCTCTGCGGAAATCCAGCCCAGCAGGAAGCCTGAGCAGAAGCTGCACAAGATAACAGCCTTTGAGGTCCGCCCCTGGGTCCGAGTGGGAGTCCGGGTGACTTCAGCTTTGCTGCCCCAACTCCCACACGGGAGCGGATTTCCCACCCTGGGCGTGTGCTGCAGCCTGAGATGCACCTCTGCGCAGACGGACATAAAGCAGACGCGCACGCCTCGGGTGCGTGGTTTCCCCTCCGTGACAAACCCCGAGTGTAGATGAGGAGCAAAACAGAAGAGCTGATCGGGAGCGGGACAGCGATCCTTCCGCGAGGGGAAGGGAGCCCGGAAGTTGTCTACACACGGACTCCGCGCAAGTGCGGAAATAGCCCGGAAACAGCCAGGGCTGCACCTCTGGGCTCAAGAGCTCACAGCAAAAATAAATAAAATAAAAACTGTGCGCACATCGCTAGACGATTTCACCGCTTGATCTCTCTTCATAACTTTGTGTCCGCCATCCTGATATCAAACTGAACTTTTTGTTTTCTTATTTTTTGGTATCGGGAATCGAATTCAGGACCTGCGCTCACCAGGCAGGCGCTGTGCTGCTGAGCTACATCCCCGGCCTCTCGATATAAAATTGAAACTTCCTATTGAGGCACAGCTGTATATATTGTCCTTTTCTTGCCTTTTTGAGACAGGATCTCCCTATGCAGTTCAGGCTGGTCTTGACCTCACTTTGTAGCCCAGGCTGGTCTCCAACTCACAACAATCCTCCTGCCACAGCCTCCTGAGTGCTGGGATGACAGGTGTGTGCCATTGCACCAGGCACAGCGCCACATATTTTATTCGGACCTCCTTGATTAGTAACTCTCGCTCATCTTTACCTATTTGTGAATTGATTTTAGGCGCAGGGACTGTACCCATTTTGTCAGCAGACACTTTTGCCTTTAGTATGCATGGACAGGCGTTTCATTTACAGACAGGGTTGTATCCTGCGGCTTAAAATAATGTGAAGTGGAAATGTATTTACAGCTGGGCGTGGTGGTGGTGCACGCCTGTCATTCTAGCACTCAGGAGGCTGAGGCAGGATGACCGCTGTGAGTTCGAGACCAGCCTGGGATACATAGCGAGACTGTCTCAAACACCAAAACTAAACAAACAAGAAAATAGAGGTGTGGGAAGTAACTAGGGTCCCGAGTGACCCCACAAGGGAGTGGGTTGGAGGGGGATTGGGCAGTATCCGCCACACACGCATTTGGCTAGGGTTGGTGTCTGCCTGGCTTGGCTTGATTGCCTGGTGGGTGCAGGAAGCTGACTGGGGTGCTGCTTCCTCCCACCTAGGCTTCTGGGATGGGACTGGGGAAACCGGGGGACAGAAAGAAGAGTGGTAAATTCCTCAGAGGAGAAAGTGGTGTGGGCTTGATTGGATTCAGCCTCAAGAAGGTCAGAGCTTGATGGGTTAACTCTCAGTGCAGCTGTGGGTGGACACGGGGTCTAAAGAGCTGGAGAAGGTAAACTGAGTCCCAGGGTGACCCCTGGCCCACAGGACCGGGTCCTGCTGAGAAGAGGACAGGAGGACGCAGACGCACACGGAGGACCCAAGTGTGGGACATGGGGAGGAGGCAGTGCTGCCCATGTCCGGACGGCGGGCTCAGCTCCAGGACTAAGACAGGGAGAGACCAGCACAGCAGACCTCAGCCTCCAGGACTGGGCCACCGAGCTCTGCTGTGTGTCAGCTCCCGGGCTGTGGGATTGCATATGGCGACCCCCATGGACTAAGATAGGGAGAGAACAGCGGAGTGGACCGCAGCCTCCAGGACTGGGCTACCGAGCTCTGTTGTGTGTCAGCACCCGGGCTGTGGGATTGCATATGGCGGCCCCCATGGACTAAGATAGGGAGAGACCAGCACAGTGGACCTCAGCCTCCAGGACTGGGCCACCGAGCTCTGCTGTGTGTCAGCACCTGGGCTGTGGGATTGCATATGGTGGCCCCCGTGGACTAAGACCTCATGATCCTCCAACCCAGTGCTCGGAGAGTGCAGCTGTCTGGATTTTCTGAACTCCCTGGGTGCTGTTGACAAAGGGAACCTGCTTAGACCTCGTTCCCATGTACAGGACCTTGTGTCCTGGCTGACCCTGTGTGAACGGAAGGCACCTCTGCCTTCTTCACGGCAGTTTCCATGCTTGGGGCTGTCTGCTCTTCACCTGCGAATCTGCGTGATCTGGAAACACCCTTGGGTGGGGCTCGAGTTTCGGGTCACAGGAGCCCCCCTGGGTACGGCTGGGACCTTAGAACAAATCCCCGTTGGCTCTAGGCGGGATGGTTGACTGCCCCTGTGACCAGGACACTGTGCATTTTATTTGGTGTGAGCTGTGCCCTGCAGTTTCCTCGGGCTCGTACTGTTTTACTAGGACCACGCTTTCCTGGTTCTGCCAAGCAGGCTCCGCACCCGGACGGCTGCTTTGGACGAGAGTTTGCCGACGGCACGGCGCGGGTGTCAGTAGTCTATCGGGGGTCCTCTTGCGGGCTGCACCAGCAGAGGGGGAAGGTGCCGCAGCAGGGCTGCAGCCAGGGCCGCCAGGTGTTGAGGTAGGTGCCCAGCTGCTGGAAGACGTCGTGCTTGAGCTCCCGCCGGTGTGCCTCCACCTCCCGCCGCAGCCTGGACACCACCGCGTGGAATGCTGGCTCCGTGTCGGGCGTGAGGACCTGGCGCTCCCCCGGGTCCCTCTCGAGGTCGAAGAGCAGAGGCGGGTCGTGCCGGGTGACGTTGTCCCCCGAGCAGGGGCAGACCCCTCTCCCGTAGCAGGCACCCGCTCCCTCTGGCTGGAAGACCGGTGTCATGAAGTGGACCTTCCACACTCTTCCTCCTGCTGGGTGGGCGTTGCAGAAAGTCGGCACAGAGCAACACACGGCGGCATTAGTCACAGAAACCAAAATCAGGACCAACACGGGCAATCCGCCAGGGGTGAGTGGCTGAACAGAACACGGTCTGCTGGTGTTGAGGAATATTACACAGCTGAGAAAAAGGAGGCAACCCTGATACCTGCTGTCCCATGTAAGGAACTCACAGAGAAGGTGCTCAGTGACAAAACCAGACACAGGGACACTGTGTGAGATGTCATGGATATAAAATGTCCAACACAGGAAAAGAGACAGACAGGAGCTGCCCTGCTGGTTGGCAGAGTCTGGGGATGGCCAGGAAGAGTGCGTGGGGTGCCGGTTTTAGGCTACGTCAGCTACATTAGCGAAACGCTGCATGGATGAAGTAGTGCTTACAAAAAACAAAAGCCAAAGGCAAGAGAGAGGGGGATTTGTCTGCCATGTGAGCGGCGTGGAATGCGCTAATAGACTGACTGTCAGAACACCGTCTCTCTCTCTCTCTCTCACACACACACACACACTCACACACACGCTCGAGGAACACACAGGCAAGACGTCAATGCCACAAGGAAGCTGCAGAGAGGCCATCGGACACAGAAGTAAGAAAATCAGCTTGGAGCTAAGGAGTTGGGAGAAAATCCTGGGAGTCCAGCTGAGGGAAGTCTAATCATGGTGGACTGGGTAGGCAGAGTCAGGAGGGTGCGTAGTGGGTGGGATGGCCCTGGTTGTGATTAAGGGGAGACCGTGTGTGACCTGGGACAGGACTCAGGTCCCTTAGCAGGGTTCAGAGTTGGAGCAAAGGCCCTGGGGCAACAGGCCCTGCTATGTGGTCAGCCACCTAAGTCGCCCAGGCTGGGCTCCACCTCGGGATCCTCCTGCCTCAGCCTCCCAGAGTGCCGCAGCGACCGGCACACACCCAGCCGTGCACGGGCTTTGGAGAGGCGTCGGTGCCCTACTCACCCTCACGCTGGTTCCACCGGGCCGCGTGCACCAGGTGCTCACAATAGTGGAAGAGGAACTCGTGCTCCGAGTGCCCGGCCGTTCCCCGCAGCAAGGGCCACAGGTCGTGCCCGTCGATGACTCTGTGGACACAGCGGGAGGCGGGACTCAGCCACGGCCGGGCCGGGAGGAGCCAGTGGGAGCCGTGGCGGGCGGCGGGCGCGTCCCTTCCCCTCCTATAAAATAACCCGCGCCGCTCTGACGCTCGTGGGTCTGACGTATTTCACTTTGCGTCACGGTCTCCGGGTCCACCCACACCCCCACAGGACACTCAAGCGTGTCCTTCTTCATGGCTGTGTAGTGCTCCACCGGGCATAGATACCACATTGTAAATGGAAGGGTAGGTATCCGTGGTAGACTTTGTCAACTGGTATGAATTTAGAAGATCAATAAGATGGGAATCTTTTTTCTAGTGGTAAATAAGTGCTCTCGGGCATGATGGAGAATTCATTAGCCCAAGGAGGTTCTACCTGGTCAGTGTTACTACAAACAAAAAATTTTTAAAAAGAAATAAAAGTCTTTTTGTTTCTATCTCTGTCTTTCTCTTGGGATCTCTGTCTCTCTCTCCAAATATGTACTGTATATGTGTGATAAATGTCTCTCTGTGTATACATTTAAGATATGTATATCTGTGTGTATATAGGTTACAGCCCATGTATAAATGTTCATGTACATGTAAGTATATGTGTGCAAGTGCTGAGGTACATGCATATATATATCTATCTATATCTATCTCTCTCTATATATAAAACCTGCCCGTAGTACAAGGCTGAATTTCCTTCACCTTCTGGTGGGTCATCTTTGCTATATATACATACATGGATGAAAATTTTACTTTGTCAAACATGAGATGCTACAGTTAATAATAAATATATTCACAGCTTATTACAAAAACATAGAAAATCAGAAAAGTGTAAATAAGGGGTCAATGGGAATTGTGACACATGCGTATGTACTGGTATGTGGAAGCATTCGTACACGTATGTATATGCATGTGCACATGTGTACATATGCTACAGTATCAATAGATGAGACAGTGGGAATGCTACGAGCGCCCCTCAGCACGATGGACCCCACGGACGGAATTCTTGGGGTCACTCACAGAATGTGTGGTGACACTCTTCCTATAATAGAGTGTGCTCCGCCGGGGAATGTTTGAACTTTGATCACAAAATAATGCAGATGTTTAACCCGGTAGAAATCACAGGGTCTGATTTCTTTCTTCCCCCAGATTCTGATTTAACCGTGGCAAAGGGACCGTATTGAGTGTCATCTCCGAGCACCTGGAGGTGGGTGCGGTGGTGCGTGCCAGGAGGCTGTACCCTGGGAAGCAGAGGCAGGAGAATCTCTAGTTCAAGCCCAGCCAGCGCAGACCAGCAGTCTGGTGAGATCTTGCCTGAAAACACGACCGCGCTCAGGGGCCCGGGGGGCGCGTCGCGTGTACCTGTCCTGCGGCACCTGGCCGCCCGCCAGCCGCACCACGGTGGGGAAGATGTCCATGAGGCTGGTGGGCTCGGGGATCACTCGGCCGGCGGGCAGCACCCCGGGCCAGTGCAGGAGCCCAGGCACGCGGATGCCGCCCTCCCAGCCCCCCATGCCTTTGCCGCCTGCGATGAAGCAGAAACAGAAGAGAGAGTGATTGAAAGTCATGAGCAAGGGCTTGCGGGGGCTCAGGACGTGCCAGTGAACCGTGGACCCGATGATTTGCAAACAGGGCCCCTGCAGAGGGAATTTGTGGAGGCTCTGGAGAGGAGACCCTCCTGCCTCAGCCTCCTGAATCCAATGGCAATGTCCCCAAGAGAGACAGAAGGGGAGATGCAGACACAGAGGAGAAGCCCCGTGGAGATGGAGACAGAGGCGGCCCACAGCTGCCTGGATCCCCGGGAGGAGGCAGAGGCGGGAGGGTGTCCCCTGGATCATGTGCAGGGAACTGGGGAGAACAGGGGACTGGATAAACAGAACGTGGTCCGCCTATACACTGGAATATTACTCAGCCCTGAAAAGAGATGGAACTCTGACACATGCCTCAGTGTGGCTAAGCTTTGAAAACAAAATGTTCCGCAGAAGCCAGACACAGAAGGACACGTGATCCGCGATGACATGGGTGTCAAACGTGCAGATTGCGGGTGCCACAGAGAAGGAAAATGAGTCGGTGGCCGGCAGAGGAACAAGGAAGGGGGAAGAAGGGAGGAAAGGAGGGGGAGAGGGCAAGGGAAGGAAGGGAGGGAGAGCTCAGTCAGGGAGCGGAGGCCCTGGGCAGCGCCCCCTCACCTTTGTGGACCCCATTCCAGCCTCCGTACTGGTGGCCCCCAAGCTGAGACTCCAGGGACCCCCCATGGTCAGATGTGAAGTACACCAGGGTGCTGCCACTGAGTCCTTCTTCCTCCAGGCTGCCCAGGATCCGACCTGCAGGGGGCACGCAGCTGTGAGCCGACTGCAGACAGAAGCATGGCCCGTCATCCCAGCAGGTGGGGACGCTGAGGCAGGAGGACCTCCAGTTGGAGTCCAACCTGGGTGGCAGAGCAATTGAACAAGGCGTGGTCTGCACATGAAGGACCCGAAATCCCAGCACACTAGGAGGCTGAGACAGGAGGGGCACAAGTTCCAGCCCAGCTTGGGGAATTCAGGGACTTGGTGAGACCTTGTCTGAAAAAAAAAAAAGCCGGTTTTTTGCTGTTTACCTGGCTGTGTCTTTCATCAAATCTGTTTTTGTCTTGGGTCGGTCCCATTTTCACTAAAGCCACTGACACTCTGCAAGTCTCTAGCTGTGATTCTCAACGCCAGGGATTGAACCCAAGCCTTGTGTATTGAGTTACACCCCCAGCGCACCTTCAATCTTAGTTGTTTTTATATTTGGAGCCATCATCCTGATAAACTGCCCAGGAGGAGCTTCAACTTGCCACCCTCCTGCCTCAGCCTCCTGCAGTGCTGGGAATACAGGTGTGCATGGCATGTTTAGCTCAGTCTCCGTCTTACTGAATGCAGAAGACACGGGAATCTCAGGCAGAGTGGGGCTCACAGCCTGAGTCAGGAATGTTGCTGGCACCTTGATCTGTTCTATCCGTTCTTGGTAATTTCATTTTCTCTGGTTTACTGTAGACAAGTGTTTTTAAGTCTGTGGCAATGCTGGGTCCCCCCGCTCCCACTAACGGAGAGGCTTTATTATCACAAAACTTTCAGTTGTACAGATCAGCAACACACAGTCTGGGAGACACCGCTGTGTTTAACAAATGAGATTAGGACGTGGATTAAAAAAGATTAGGAGCGTTAATCTCACAATGAGATCAGGACGACAATATCCTGGGGACAGTGTTCTGTCTGCATAGGAGGATCAGGTCATGGGTGTCTTGGGGACATTGTTCTGTGTCCACGAGGGGATGGGACAGGGGCATCTCGGGGACACTGTTCCATGTCCACACGGGGACCTCGGCTCGCTGGGCTGGCACTCACCGACCATCCAGTCCATCTCCTCCACATTGTCCCCGTAGAGCCCATGCTGGCTCCTCCCCAGGAAGTCCTTGGTGGTGACCAGCGGGATGTGGACATGGAGAAAGGACACAAAGAGGAGGAACGGCCCGTCCTTGTTCCTGAAGACAAATAGAAGGGAGCAGAGTTCTCTCAGCGCTGTGAATCCCCGGGTGCACTGGCTATATCCCTGAGCTGTCTCCACTTTTGTGGCACCTTCCTGCCTCTGCCTACCAAGTACAAATGCACCCAACCTGTGTGCAATGCTATAATAGTCTCTTGTTAAAAAGTCTTGAACAGCCAGTGGCACATTCCTGTCATCCCACCATTCTGGGAGGCTGAGGCAGGAGGATCTCAAGTTTGAGCTGTGCTTGGGCACCATAGCAAGAGTCTGTCTCAAAAGCAAACCAGTAAAAAATAAAAAAGCAGAAAAACGTCCTGGGGTGTGGGTCAGTGCAAAGACCCTGAGTTCCCTCTGCAGTACTGAAAAAAAATTGTTTACCTTAATACATTAAGTTATGAATTTTCTTTCCTGAAAACCACTATAGTGCTTTTCTGGGACCCGAGATACTTATGGAAAACAGTTTTAGAAGAACAGCAAGGACCTGATTCCCTCGCAATTCCTCTGCCTCCGGGGAGCTTCAGGACGTCATACAAATCCGGAAATCCTAGAGGCAAAGGCTGCAGTCCGAGCTCTGGCTGGAGCGCGCAGTTCTGACGGCTGTGATTCGCAGACTTGATCTGCAAAGCGAGTCTTCACAGCCGGGGTGTATTGAGACTCCGCCAAGACCCCTGGCGGTGTTCTGGACTATGTCAGCTGCTTCTGCAGCAGGGAAGGTGGGGCTCCAAGGCATGGAGCTGTGTGACAGCAGAGATGGCTTTTCCCCGGACTGCCTGGAGAGCAGGCTAGGGGATTATGGGACTCACTTCTGAGTGTGCCTGGGTGGCTCCTGCCAGGCTGACTGTGGGAATATGTGCTCCCCGGCCCCGTCCTTTGACTCTTTCCCAGCTCCCTGCTTCCTGGTCTCCATGATGTGAGCGTCTTTCCTCCCCTCCACCCGTCCGCCACGATGCTCCTGCCTTGGAGCAGGCGACCAGGGACTGCGCCCTCTGCAACCGTGAGCCAACACCCAGTTCTTCTCCTTTAAGTTGTTGGTGTCAGGTATTGTATCCAAGAACAAGAAAGTTGACAGATGCACCCTCCTGCCTGGGATATTCTTGGGGAACATGCAAGGGACCGCTGTCCCATGCAGCTTTCCATCCCATCATCCGACATGCTCCAATACCACTTGCGGCTTTGTAACCCGTATTTACATATAAGCTAAAGTCTGCAATAGGGCGTCCTGGTGCTTACGCCAGAGCTTAAAAATATTCAGTTTCCTGTAAAGGCTCTTGGGCTGGGTGCATGTGGGTTGGCATTGAACTAGGACACCCCCAGTGGTTGCACTTGGCCGAGAAATTAAATTGACCCCAGATGTGGTAATGCGTGCAGTGGAAGTCACAGAGCTCAACTGACCACCATGCATCCCTCATTGGACCGATCACGTCCTTTGGGCCAATAGCACCTCATGATCCGAGAGCTGTCCCGGAGGAACTGTCCCCACTGCCCGCCTTCACCGCAACACCCAGATCCCGGGCGAAGCCGGCCCTCCGTGCTCACCTTTTCAGAAAGGACGAGACCTCCTCCAGCAAGAGAGAGGTCGTTCTCTCAAAGCGCATGGGCTGCTCCGTGATCGCGTGGTTTCTCATGAGAAAGCAGTCCGCGTGCACCAGCAGGTCCCCCAGGAAGTGGGAAATCAAGAAGACCACCGCGGCCAAGAGGGCAACCAAGACGGCGGGCACCCAGGAGATGGGGAGCAGGTGAGTGAGCCTCCCGGCAGCCAGCGTGACAGCGGCGAAGGCCAGGATGTGGAAGCAGAGGCCGAGCTTGTGCTGCAGGCCGACGCGCTTCTCGGAGAGCTCCCACCGCAGGCAGTCGCCCATGAGGCTGAACGGCATTCCGTAGAAGTGGTCGAACCCGTGGCTGAGCGGGTGGTGGCAGTGATCGCGGGGGGACCTGCAGTTCAGCCCCAGGTGCCATTTTCCTGCGGAGGAGGAGGAGGAGGGACAAAGGTGGGGCTTGAATTTTATTAAAAAATTAGGACGCATCCATACTCCTGGTACACAGAGACTAGACTCGTGTGCAGAGTTGGTGCACGTACAAAACACATCTCAATTGTTTTCTTTCTTTATTTTTTTGATCCCTTCTGTCCTCCCTGTATCTCTTGATCCCCTCCGCACGGCAAAGGATCTGCATCCCGCCTTCCTGCCATGTCTTTTATGTGGCTCTATATTTACCCTCTGGGTGTCTCACATGAGAGAAACCAAGTGATATCAAAGCACATGTGCCTGGTGGAGTTCACTTAACACTTTGATCTCAAGGTGCATCTGTTTCCCTATACACAATTCAATTTTATCCTTCTTCATGGCTCTGTAGTACTCCACCGTGTGCAAACATCATATCCTCTATATCCATGCATGTGTGGGTGTTCCTACAGGCTGCTTCCAAGATGTATCTATTCCGACTTGTGCTGCTATAAACACGGGTGTGCGTGGATCACTGGGATATGGTTAATTCCTTCAGGAAGGCACCTAGAAGGGTATTCCTGGGTCAAATGGACTTTCTAGTTCCAGAGTGTTGTGGAATCTCCACACAGATTCCCTGTAATATTGAGTACCTGTGCCAGGAGCTGGGGCACAGAGGGTATTGAGAGTGGTGTGCATGGCGTCCGATGTTACTTACACCCCAACTGGGCCGTGAGGCCCAAGGGACTTTGCTCCTCGTGCAGTAACACTGCCAAGCTGGTGCATTTGCTAGGGGAGTTGTAACAAATCACCATAGTCCTGGTTGCTCACCACAAAGGAATCAGTTCCCTTCCCATCCCGGGGGCCAGTGTCCGGCAGGTGGTGGTTGTGGGTACCTTGCTCCCCTCCGACCCGGTCACCCTGGCTTCTGTCTGTTCTCAGATCTCTGTCCTTAAAGGATCCTGGTCCTGCCACGTGATATCCACCTGGACGACCCAAAGGGATTTCCCTACGTTGGCCTCCTCCCCTTGATCGGATGGACCCAAACCCTTTTCTAAGTAACAGAGTCAGCCCACAAGGTCACGGGTTTGGCATTTGTGGATGCAACCAACCACAGGTAGAAGGTATTAGGGAAACAGCCGGATGTGGGGGGTTATGCCTGGAACCCCAGCGATTTGGGAGGCTGAAGCAGGAGGATCTCAAGTTAGAGCTCAGCTTGGGCAAGCTAGAGGGTCTGTACCTCAAAATTATAAATTTCTTTAGAAAAGGGCTGGGGATGCAGCTCAGTGTGAAACCCCTGGGGTTTGATCACTAATACATCCCCCACTCCTCCCCCAAAATACTAGAAAAATATACTGAACACCCCCAGCGTTATTTCCTTGATGTCCCCGAAGATATATAGTATAACAACTAATTGTGTAGCATTCACGTTGTGTCAGCTATTGTAAGTCACCTAACATTTTTGGGAAGGGTGCGTGGGTTATCTGCCCATTCTGCACCACTGTGCCTCAGAGATGTAGAAATTCCAAGCATTTCGGTGTGCACGGGATCTGGTCATTTCATCCATTCATTACATGAATCTGGTACCAGGGTATTGATAGAGACAAGGATTATGTTGCTTCTACCCAGAAAATCCAGTGTGGGTTCCCACGGACCCAAGGACAGGCTCTTACGTCTGCATAATCAAACTGGCTGTGGGGTTTGATAGTCCATGGATGATCCTGTCTTGTTCTTATTATCCACAAATGTGATTGTTAATAACCTACGACAATAGTCATGGTGATGTGGTTCCCTCCCGAAAAACAAGTATCCTTAGCTTTGTTTTTTAAAAATATTTTTTGTTTAATCGCTGACATTGGTTTGTTGAAATACACAAAAATAGGTCTATCATCAATGGGAGCAGACAAGAGATCTTAAATCTTCTAAAAACATGTCTAAGTGAAAATCTGATGGCGTTCTGGAGAAGTTTGGTAAAACTTGATAGAGTTTGTGCTGACTGATTGATTTTTATCTTACTGTCTTGTCCAGGCTGGCCTCAAAGTCCTAGGCTCAGGGGACCCACCTGCCTCAGCTTCCTGAACAGCTGGGATGATAGGGAATCGCTATCACACTCATGCACGTTTCTGTATTTTTTCAAGTCATAGCAAAGCAGAACATCATAGGAGAAGCTAAATATCTCGCTACACTGGCGTCGCTTGAATCCTATGTGTAAGTAGCCCTCTGCCCATTGCCAAGTCACTATTCTACCCTTTGCATTTGCAAACCTTTCCACTGAATATACTCTCTATGAAAGCAATGCACCTCATAATTTAAAAAATATACTTACCTATCAGTCCTGTGGTATAGCCTCTTTCTTTCAATATTTTTGCAAAAGTTATCTCTCCGGGTGGGAGGCCCCCAGCAGCCCCGGCCCACTGAACAACACGGTAACCATTGTAGGAAATCATACCTTTGAATCAGCATTAAAAAGAAAAAAAAGGTTATTGCTACATATTTTGTTCTTGGTTTGATTATAATTAATTTTTTCAACAAATGAGAATATTTGGTAGAAACCTCCATGATCTAAAAGTAAGTTGCATACTTACTTCCTGCCTAGATTGCTTCAAATTTGCATTATTATTATTGTTTGTTATTATTATTATTATTGATTCATTCACATTGCTGGGTAAATCGATGACTTTTTACCTCGCTACCTAGGGAGATAGAAAACTGTACACGGTGCCAGTGTGTGAAATACTTCAGGGTGAAACCAGGATTTCCCACCACAATCAAATGTTGGATTGTGTGAAACTCGTTCCGCGGGTGTTCCACAGGATGTGCAAACGCTTCTAGCAAGTTTTAACTTGAAAAATGAGCAATATCTTGCAACGTGTTTCTCTCAGATTGTGGGCGTTTGTCTCCTATCAGCAAGAGGGTGGAGAAAAAGGAGGAGGGATTCCTTACTTCATATGAGAGTAGGCAAAGGCATAAAATGTGGGAAAGTGCACAATTCTGCAGCAAAGCACTGCGTCGAATAAACTCTTAGCAGTGCAAGTAAGCGTTCTGTTTAATGACAGTGTACTGTCATTTCCGCTAAATCCTCAAAAGGCAAATGCAGGTGTCACTGGGTAGGCTTCTTGTTAAAGCTGTATGGATAAGATTCCTTTGAACCGATAGATACCAGGAACTCCACCAGTGACAGCAAAAGTCATTCTACACAATAACCCTCCTCCCTCTTGTCTCTCTGACATGAGCCATCAAGGTTTTCAAAGACAAGCGCAGCCTCATTTGTTAATTTTTCTTTATCTTTCACATTTTGTTATTTTATATTACAGCATTGCGATCACTTTTACGTGAGTGTTTGTGGGTTGTGGAATGACCCATCTGAGTTTCATGGGGAAATTCACTTTGATATATAAATGCTTTGGATTGCATGTATGTTTCCAGAATAAGTTATGCTTGCAAAGCAAGGTTTTACAATGTGTATACCGGCGGAGCTTGGAGAGTTGTACCAATGCAACCTATAGTATCAGTGTATAAAAACATAATAGGGGCTGCAACAACGTAAACTGTTTACCCAGTTGTCACAGTGTAGCCTGCCATATCCAGTGCTGACAATATAACCTGTAGTGTCCAGGGATAACAATATAACCTTCAGCACTGCATTGCTACAGTGTAACCCATAATATCCAGCTGTAACCATGTAACCTGTAGCATTGAATTGTAACCATGTAACCTACAGTACTGAGTTGTACGCATGTAACCTGTAGTACTGAGTTGTAAGCATGTAACCTGTAGTACTGAGTTGTAACCATGTAACCTGTAGCACTGATTTGTAACTGTGTAACCTGTAGCATTGAGTTGGGGTTTTTTTTTTTTTTTTTTTTTTGGTTCTTGGTTTTTTTCCAGTACTGAGGATCGAACTCACCACCTTGCACTTGCCAGGCAGGTGCTGTGATGCTGAGCTAAATCCCCAGCCCCCTGTAGCACTGACCTGTAACCATGTAACCTGTAGCATTGAGTTATAACCATGTAATCTGTAGCATTGAGTTGTAACCATGTAACCTGTAGTATTGATTTGTAAGCATGTAACCTGTATTATTGAGGTGAAACAATGTAACCTGTAGTGTGTAGCTACAACAATGTAATCTGTAACATCCAGTCATACCAGTGTAACCTGTGGTAGTGAGTTGATACAATGTGGCCCATTGTAGCGAATGTACAAGGCAACCTGTCATATCCAGGGGTAACAGTGTAACCTGTAGCCCGGCATGGCTCTCTCCTGAATGGCCCAGGGCTGGACAGAAGGCAGGACTCACCTGAGCGGATAGGGTATCTCCCCGTCAGAAAAGCAGCACGGCTCGGGGTGCACACGGATGCTGCGGCAATGTGGTGGGTCAGCTTCACCCCGTCTTCCGCAAGCTGGTCAATGTTCGGAGTCCTACGGAAGGAAAAATCACCCGTGTTCCTTAGCAATCAGGTTTCCCTTAAGTACATCTATACAAAAGCAATCAGGTTTTTCTTAAGTGCGTCTACACGCTGCTTGCTATCAAAATCTGCAGGTCATCGCTGCGTGCTTTGAAGTGTTGTTAGAAATGACCCCAGGGATGGTGAGGGCTTCAGATATCTTTGGAATCTGCTAGGATTCAGCAGCAGAGCAGTGAGGGGTGAGCGATCGAGTTGTAACTGGTCCTAAACGAGGGAAGTCATGGCAGATGCAGATCAGGTACAAAGGATCTGTAATCTCGCTTTGTCCTTAGTCCCTGCTGCAGAGAAATCCCATTGCCTAGAGAAGAATTAGAAGGTTGCCTCTTAGACAGTTTCCATGAGACTAGCAGGGACCCAGGTACTGTGTGCAGATCCTGGAACACACTAGAGAGGATCTCAGGGTCCCGATGGTGAGGGGTCTCGTGCACATCAAAGCTGTCGGTGGTCCGGGAGGACCTTCGCGTGGAGTCAAATGTGGCTCCTGGTTGGTGCATTAGCTGCATTTGCAAGAAACATGAGAATACAGAACAGGTGCTTGTGAGATCACTGCAGAGAGCTGGGTCACACATGAAAGATGGTTATGTAGTATAATTATTGCTGTGGTGGAGATTTAACCCAGGGACTTTACACTGAGCTACAAGCTCAGCTCACTGTATTATTGTTATTATTATTATTATTGGCACAGAGTCTGACTAAGTTGCTAAATTGTGCAGCCTGGGCAAGCCCAGACTGTGATCCTCCTGCCTCAGCCTCCTAGAACGGCGGCATTGCAGCTGTGCCTGCACGTCCAGCAGGAAGTACTGTATTTTCGGATAATGGGACATGGAGCTGTCTAAAGGAGAATATTAAAATTCTGCCTCGGAAGCCGGGCAAGGCCAGAGGGAAGGGGAGGAGCTGCCAGGTAGGACTTAGCGTTGGTCTTTGGCTTGGCAGCGGTTTTTAAAATATTATGTGTCACATCGTGGGCCGGCCATGGACAGTTGTACTGGGCCAGGGCATGGTTAGTCAGTCCCGTGTGGGACGAGCTGAGCTAGTGGGGGAGGGGCCGGGGGAGCAGGCGGGGCACCCTGTCTCCCAGATTGGGTGTGTTGCACAGGCCCCCTCCAAAGCCGTGCAGACGGCAGCAGGAGGGAGTAGGGTTGTTGGAGGGGCCGGCGTGCTGGGATTCCACCGTCACGAGTGGGTTAATCCGCTCGTGGCTTCGCGGATCCCTGGGTCCTGGGTGCAAAGGGTTTGCACGGAAGCAAGCTCTCTCTGGGAAGCTCTCTCTGAGCCTTCAGTGTGATACGGCGAAGCCAAAAGCCCTCAGCAGACCCCAAGCAGCTCGGGCGTCCCTTGCAAAGCCGGGAGCTGAGTGAACCTCTGTTCTTTAGGAATCACCCGTCCCGCGGTGCTCAGTTACAGCACCAGGAGCTGTGCAGGGGAGCTGGCGTCCGGGGTGCTGGGCATCACCATGACCCTCTGTTCTGCCTGTCCCTGTACATCCGCCCCCGATGGGCCACGGCCTGCCCCGTCCTTGCCTTATGGTGGTGTTGCCGTAGCAGCCGACGTCCCCAATGCCGAGGTCGTCCGCCATGAGGAGGAGAAAGTTGGGCCGGGGCCGGGGGGCATCGCTGCCGGCAGACGTCTTCAGGGCCAGGGCCAGTCCAAGCGCCACGGCCGCGCACGTCCTGAAATACAAGCTGCTGAGGCGGGTGCCGGGAGCCGGGCTCCCCTGCGTGGACACGGATCCGCAAGGGAAAAAGGCAGCCTTTTCAGGGAGTCTGAGCAGCAGAGTCACTCTGCAGAACACCCTCAGGCTGCGTCTCTTAGGAGCTGGCCTGCCTGAGGCTGCGTTAAGGATCAGCCTTGCGGCCGGGAGTCTTTTGGGGACTTTGCACACTCCTCTGGACGCCCTGGAGTCCGGGAAGCCACTCTGCCAGGGAGGAGCAGACAGCTCTGCTGGCGCCTTTGCAAAATGCGTGGACTGTTTTCCCAGCATGCCTCCTGCACCTTCCCCTCTCTCTCCCTGGGTTCCCAGATGCGGTCTGAGCCCCGCTGACACGTTCCCACAGGGCTCCTGGCAAGCGGGCGCCTGAGCCAGGCCAGGGTGGGGGACCAGCTGGCCCGTGAGGACCGCGTGGCTCCTTCGGGATTGCCCGAGACACGTCCAAGGTGAGCCAGCCGGGACATGCTATGGTCAGAAATCCCGTCCGGGGTTGGGGGACGCGCGGCCAGCTCTCAGCCCAGCGACGCCCAAGATGATCAGCGTGCTCTGAGCGAGCTGCGGGAGGGGACGCGGCCCGGGCCCCGGCGGTCGGGCGTGCGCACGGCCCTGGCTTACCACACGCGGTGCCCGGGCAGCATGTCCGCGCTCTGTCCCGGTCCTGCAAGAAGTGACGGCGTCGGAGCAGTGCGGCCAGCACAAACTGCAGCTCCTCTGCGGGGAAAGACGGCCAGCGTGTCTGTCTGTCTCGGCCTGTCTCTCTCTATCTCTGTCTCTTTGTCTCTCTGTCTCTATCTCTGTCTCTCTCTTTGTCTGTCTCTCTCTCTCTGTCTCTCCCTATCCCTCTAGCTCTGTCTCTTTGTCTCTCTCTCTCT